CGCCAGGTCACCGCTCAGGCCAGCCGCGACGGTCTGTCCGGCAAAAGTGGCTGAAACAACAGAAAGCCCGGCAGAAGAGTACACCCTGACACTGGACACGACAGACCACGTCGTCGCTGTGGCCCTACTAGCCTAGCCAGCGCCAAGAGAGACACGACACCGAGAGAAAAGCCGCGAAGTCAAGTCTCTGGGAATTGTGGTCCCGGGAAAGCGGGGGAAGCCCTTCTCCAGTAGCCCTCTGGGAACTGTAGTTCGAAGAAGACCGGGCGCCTGCCGGAGCGCGAAGGAGGGATTTCTGGGTAGTGTAGTCGTACGTGAGGACGTGCCGCGATAAAGTATTCGGCGTGCTGGGAGACAGCGAGGATTAAAAGGCGGGCGGCCGAAATGAGAGAAGAGCTGTCCGGGAAGTAAACTACAAATCCCAGAGTGCCTCGCGCCGGGGACCGCCCTAGGATCGCTCCTAGCATCTTAAGGCTCTTCTGTTGGTCCAGTGTGAGCTTCTGCTCCGCCTCCGTCCAGCCCCAGAGCGGTTTCTTCAACTGCGGATGAGGCGGTGTGCTGGCTCCGCGTGGGTCCCCGGCTAGCCGGGCGTGCCGGCCTCTGTCCTCAGAACTTCTGGTCCGTGTTCAGCAACCGCCGTCCCACGCGACGGGCAGGAGAGAGGCAACTCTGAACTGGACCCGGGGGCACTGGGGCGGACATCGGGCTACACCAGAGCCAGCCTCGTCTTTGAGCTCGTTTTCCTGCAAGATAGGCCTTTCTAGCCTAGGTATACCGCTTGTAACTTGCTTTACAAATTCCAGAGGGATGGCTATCCATTATCTCATCGGATTAGTGGGTATAGAGGCAAAAAGACCAATCCCTCATGAAAATGACTTGTGCCTCAACTGCTCTCCCAGAATCCTGGTTAAAACTAAGAAAATCGCGTGGTGGCGCACAGTACTGCTGAGCCAGAGGATAACAGATTTAAGGCCAGCCTGAAATTACATACCAAGATCTCATCAAAAACTAATAATCAGTGAAAACTGCAGAGGCTCAGAGACTGGGACCTGTGCTAAAACATGGCCTGAATGCGGTATTGGACATGGAGTGCTTGCTATTCTTGATTTGCTAGAGCAAGAGAGGAGATAGAGCTTAATCCCAGCACTCAGGAGGCAGAGGCAGGCGCATCTCTTGAATTCGAGGCAAGCCTGGTCTACAGAGTGAGTGACAGGACAGCCACGACTACATAGAGAAACCCTGTTTTGAAAAGCTGGGCATTGGTGGCACACACCTTTAATCCCAGCACTCGGGAGGCAGAGGCAGGCGGATCTCTGTGAGTTCAAGACCAGCCTGGTCTACAAAGCCACAGAGAAACCCTGTCTTGAAAAACCAAAAAGAGAGAGAAAGGAGGTAGAATCATGTCAAGAATCTACTGGACTGAGGACTCAGAGCTTCATCTGACGAGCAGTGAAGAGCCTTTCAGAGATCTCATCCTTTTTAAAAAACATTAAATCTGAGTGGCACATGCCTTTGATCCCAGGACTCAGGAGGCAGAAGCAAGGGGATCTTTGTGAGTTCAAGGCCAGCCTGGTCTACATATAGAGATCCAGGACAGCCACGCTGTTTGTTACACAGAGAAACCCTGTCTGGGGTAGGGGTGGGGAGATGGACCTAGGGATAGAACTATATTAATCATAATTCAATTAACTGGCCCATGCCTAGCCCAGTGTATAAATCTTGTTGCTATTGAAACAAATTATAAATTTAAAACAATAAGCATTATCTTACAATCCTAGAGGTCAGGAAGGCAAACTCAACCAGGCATAGTGGTACAAGTCTGCAAATCTAGCTCCCAGGAAGATCAAGAATTCATGGCCAGCCTTGGCTACATAGTGAATTCGAGGCCAGCCTGAGTGACCTAAGACCCTGTCTCAAAAGGGGGGATAGGGTGAGAGAAACTGAGCTAAAATCAAGGTATTACTGAACTGTTTTTTCCCCCCTAATTCTGATTTCTGGATGTAGCCTACATTATTTGGCTCTTTGCACCTCCCTCTATCTGCAAAGGCTGCAATATATTATTTTTTTTTTTTGGCCTATTTCATCTTTCTGACTAACCTACCTTTTAACTTGCCTTTTGTGATTAATTGGGCCATTTCAAGATTAACACACGCAATCTCCCTATATTAAAATGGTCACATATTTTGGGGATCCTTAGTGTCGTTCAATTTTTTTTTGATAATAACATTAATTTATCCAAGTCTTCCTTCACTTGAGGTATCTGACCCTAAATCCTGCCTTTACCATTTCTTGCTTTCTCATTAAGTTTTGTTCTACATACGTATGCTCCTTAAAAGTGTGCATACATGTTTAAGTCATCTTTTAGATTCATCTCCCTCTGCTTCCTCACTGTGAACTCAATGTGAACTACTGCCTCACACTCCCACCACAGTGCCTTGTCTCCCATGATGGACTATATATACCTCCAATTGTGAGCCAGGATACCCTCTTCCTTAAGTTGCGTTTGTTGGATATTTTGTACCAGCAACAACAATGAAAAAACATAATACCCCAAACCTAATATACTAAATACAGACTTGTCTGTGAAAACAAGGAGAAGTTGGTCTTCTGTGGCAGGGAAGCACACTGCCACCAATTTAGGCATATAACTTTTTTTTTTTAAACGCATGAAGCTGTTTAATTAGGTCGATAGTAATTTAAAAAACCAGTTTGTGAGGATACATCCCGTTTGTCAGAGAGAACTGAGACCTCAGGTAGCCCTGGAGCTGAGGAACAGCTTTGATCTTTGGCAAAAGCTGCGAGTCCACAGTTTTCTGATCGGCCTTGTGCTGCTCTGTAATCTCCTATTTCTCCTTCTCTGTGTCGAAGATCTCGCCCTCCTGGTGCCTGGGCTTGAGCAGTTGCTTCTTGTTAAACTAAGCATCAGTCAGGTGTTTGGGGACTTTAACCTTGCTGATATCAATTCTTGAGGGTGGCAATGACAAATTTCTGGTGTGCTCTTCTCAGAGGAACTCTGTTGAGGGCAAGAGGTCCTGTCACAAGTAGCAAGCTGCTGCCCAGCTGCTTCAGGAAGACCACCCTCTGGCCCCTGTGGCGCCCGGTGAGGATGATCAGGACAGTCCCTGGAGTGATGCTGGCACGCAGCTTCCTCATGTGCTGACTGAGGGCTTCTTGCCATGGCTTCCGAGGAACATCTTCAGTAGGATAATACCTGGGCATTTTTCGAAGCTTTCGAACCCGGGTACCACTATTCTTGTCACCGCCAACTGGTTTAGTGACAGTAGCAAGGACCTTCTCTTTTTTCTTCTTCTTTTCAACCTTGGTTTTTGCAGCCGAGTATTTTCTTTTGTACAGGGCCCTTCTGGAATACATCGGGAGTACCTGCCAATTCCTCTAACCAGGACAGGGTTCCGACTGCAATGGGGCTTCCCCTTCTGCACCAGCGGCATCACCACCAGCCTTCTTGGCTGCTGTTTTTTTCTCTTGTGTGTCAGGCTCCTCAGCTTTTTCACCCGCCATCATTCAAGATGGGAAAGAGCTAGGCACATAACTTTTTTTCAACGATTTATTTTTATTGCATGTGTCTGAGTGTATGCCTGCATGTGTATTTACCACCACATATGTGGCTGATGCCCCGAGAGTTCAGAAAAGGGTGTGGGATACCCTGGAATTGGAGCTACAGGTTGTTGTGAGCTGCCATGAGTGCTGGGAACCAAACTGGAAGCCTCTGTGGGAGCAGCAAGTGCTCTTGATCATTGAGCCATCCCTCCCGTTGCCTCCATTTGCTTAGTACAATCTCTGTACTCAGTGCCTCATTGGAGGAGAGAAAAGTCAATGGCAGCCAATGTTTTGGATTATCCCAAGTTTTGGGGTAGCTTGTAGATCTGCATAGCTGCATACTGGAACCCTACCTACCTTCTCTACATGAGGCTACTCAGTGTGAGACTCCCGTAAAGGAGTCGAATAAGATACAGATTTTATCTCAAACAGAGAAAGACGGGCTTCAGAAATCTACAAAAATGAAAGAAAGGGATTAGGAAAAAAAAATTATATGTGTCTGTGACACAGAAGCCAAGCTCAGCCTCAGGCATACAGTTCCCTAGCAGGGAGTGGAAGTCAAAATAGAAGCCACTTCCTAAAGTAAGCCGATGAAAGCCAGGCAGCCCTTCCCAGGACAAGCCCACAGCCTTCATAAGCCTTAAATCCAGTTGTGAGGTTTGATGCGACAGTAATTACCCCATCGGAAAATTCAACAGCAGGGAGAAATCCCATTTTGTCATGCTGTATGACTCAGAGGTCAGCAGCCAGAAGCAATCTTAAAGGAGAATCTTTTTAAAAACAGCTACCTGGGGACGTGAGGTCAGGGAGCATCCACAGAGCCTCAATTTGACCTGTCAGAGCCCTACATAAAGGGAGGTCCAGAGATGCAAATGTGGAGGGCAGGAGAGCCAGTCACTGACAAATCAAAAGTGTTCTCAGGCTAGTCAAATCATATGGAGAAATTATTATGGGGGCTTGAGACCCATGGGTGGGTCAAATCCTAGAGTCACCTATCCATCACTCACTACCGTTCATGCTTGAGAATGCTCAAGTTCTGAGGGATGTGAGTGATACACACAGCTGTGTCCCTCCAGCAGGGTGATTAGTATTCAGGAGGCCTTGACAGCATTAAAACAGGGCCTCTAGCTGTACCAACCAGTCTCTGCTACTCTGCTATGGCTGCTTCTCATCCCTCATTGCACTTAGGAGACACCACTCAGCCAAAACACTAGTCACTCCAGCAATGTGATTTTAGAGAGTCGTGGCAGAGTAGAAAACCTGCCCAGTCCACAGAACGGCAGACATCCCTGTTTCAAAAAAAAAAAAAAAAAAAAAAAAAAAAAAAAAAAAAAAAGGAAAACAGCCTTGTTGAAAGACAGGTCTGGGAGGCCTCAGACACTTTAACCATTAGAGATTCAGCAACATCATTAGCCATAGGAAAGACCAGAGCCTCCAGAGCCTCAACCCACACTCCCTCCCCATCCTGCATACACTGATGGTCTTTAATTTTTTCTGGACTTTTTGTTTCTTTAGAGATTTTAAATTATGTGTATGTGTGTGGGTGTATGCACATAAATGGTGGTTCCTTTGGAGTCCAGAAGCATCAGCTACCCCAGGACTAGGAATTACAGGTAGTTATGAGCTGTCCAACAATGCAGGTGCTGATACTGA